TGAAAATGGAAGATTTTTAACAACACTTGAAAACCAATTAAGGGGTTCTTAATTTTTCTAAATAAAGTTTACAAAAACAGAAATATAAATAATTTGTTCTAGTTACAATTACTTAATTTCAAAGCAAACAAAAAGGTTTTCACTCAGCCTAACAATTTAAAGGACTGATAATAACCATCCCAAGTATCTGTCTAAAGCTAGACTCATGCCTACAGTTTGAATGCTAAACTGATATAACATATTTGAAAGGCAGTTAAATAGTATCTTTAAGATACAAGGGGTGGATAATGAAATCACCTATTTTGATAATTCTTCTATTTAATTCATTAAAAATTTTTAAGGTTGTAGATTCACATGAATTTGTAGATTTATGTAATACCACACCCTTTTTGCAAATCAAATAACATTTAACAAAACTGAAGTGCAGTGTCACAACCAAGATAATGACATTGAAGATGCAGAACATTCCCAAGCCACAAGGATTGTTCATGCTGCCATTTAATAGCTACACCACCACCTAAATCCTGGCCAACACTAACATCTTCTACGTACCCACAATTTCGTCATTTTAAAAACGTTTTATAAATGGGATCATATAGTATATAAAATTTTGAGACTGGCCTTTTTTTACTCAGCGTAATTCCCCTGATCAACCCAGGTTATTGTATGTATTTGCAGTATGTTGTTTTGCATTGTGGAGTATTTCATATTATTCATATATTATTTTATTTTATTTTATTTATTTACCTGTACCAGGGCAAACAAGCCCTTACCAGGTTTTGGCTATTACAAATAAAGCTCCTGCAAGTCTTCTTGAATAGATTTTTCTGTGAACAAAAGTAATTTCTCTGGGGTAAATGTCCCAGCTGAAATTGCTGGATTGTGTGATAGTTGCTTGTGTATTTTAAGGGACTTGCCAAACTACTCTCCACGTTGACTGTCCCACTTTATTTTTACATCAACAACATGTGAGTTACTCAGTAACTCTGAAGCATTGCCAGTATTTGGGGTTGACATTCTTTTTATTTTAAACAGTCTGATAGATGTATAGTAATATCACATTGTAGTTTAATTTTCTTTGTATTTGATTATTTTAGTACAATAGACATTTCAATAAATGGTTGACATCAAAAATAAAGAAGAAATGATTATTATTTGAATTCAAAATAAGAATGGGGTTCATATACAGTTTTGAAATTAAAGTGATCACAGATGGAAATTCTGTAACATTTTTGTATATTTGGTAAAACAATAAACAGCTTAGTAATGCCATTCATATAAAACTATCTGAATTTTAAAAAGTGCAAGTAATGTTGGGGACACTATAAAATCAGACTGCATATGCAATACACTGATTGACGAAACACAGCCAATAAGCAGTCCATGACAATATATTTTCATCACTAAGGGTCAACTGATCCTTTACAAGTTTCTGCTTCTATAACCTGCCATCTTGGATATGAGGCTGCCATGCAATCTCTATATATTCAGGTCTCTGCTGTGATCACAGATTGTGACTTACAAGTGCAGCTCCTCTTCAATAAGGTATAAATTTAATTTAATGAGCAGAAAACTAAAGTTGTTTTAAATGCCTCTTTGGTACTTCATATGGTGGGTTATTAATTGTCGGGGACTAAATATCTCTTCTTCTTATTACCTACTTGTGGCATGTATGATTATTTCATTAGACATTTACAGTAGTAGGATCTACATCAGTGGGTCTCCATGATGGCTTTAGGGGATAATTTTATCCCCAGGGTACATTTCACAAGGTTAGAAGAGATTTTTCATTATCATGACTGAACGGAGGGGAGGGCTACTAGAATCTAAGTAGGTAGAGGATGAAATGGTGCTAAACATCCTAGAATATACTGGACATGCCCTCCACAGTGAAGAATTATACAACCAAAATATCAATAGCACTATCTATGAGAAGCCCTGAAATCAATACATTGTGATTCTAATTTGCATTTCCTTGTTGGGTAATGAATGAAAATTTTTTTATCAATTGCTTATTGCCATGCCTATGTCTTCAGTGTATTTTTCTTATGTCTTAATTGAATTTTTATTTTTGCTTTATTATAGAGTTTAGATATTTATGCTAAAATATTCTGTTGACTACATGTTTTGCAATTGTTTTATACATTTGGTAGCTACTCAATTCATGCTCCTACAATTGCCTTTCAAAGAGCATAAAATTTTGATGGTTATCGAATTGGAGTGTATTTTCATGTGCCTGTTAGCCATCTGTATTTCTTCTTTGAAAATGTCTGTTCATGCAAATCAAATCCACAATGAGTTATCGCCTCACACAAGTCAGAATAGTCACTCTTCAAAAGGCAAGAAGTAACAAGGGTTGGCAGGGATGTGCAGAAATGGAAACACTCCTGCACTTTAGGTGGGAGTGTAAATTGGTGCAGGTATGGTGGAAAGCTGTATGGAGGTTCCTCAAAACACTAAAAATAGAAGTACTCTATGACTCCTTGTTTCTACTTCTAGGAGTTTACCTGAAGAAAACAAAATCCTCTGATTCAAAAGTATATGCACTCTATGTTTATTTGCAGATTAACTGCAGTAGCCAAGACGTGGAAACAATCAGTGTCCATCAATACATGAATGGATAATGATGCAGCCCATAAACACAGTGGAATATTACTCAGCCATAAAAACAGAAAGAATACATGCTATTTACATGGACATGGAAAGACCTTGAGGGTATTATTCTAAGTGAAATTAGTAAGGCAGAGAAAGACAAATTACATATGATTTCACTATTATGTGGAATCTAAAAAAATGAGCAGAACAGAAGTAGTCCCATTGACAAAGAGATGACTGGTGGTTATTTTGGGGAAGGGGTCAGGGTGGGTCAGTGAAATAGGTGAAGTGGCTAAAGAGGCACAAAATCTCAATTATAAATTAGTCATGGATATGAAAGTGCATCATATGTAATGTAGTCAGTAACTCTAACATCTTATGATGACATAATAAATTCACTAGTTGGGTGAGCATTTAATACTATGTAGAGCTGTTGAATCACACTATTGTGTACTTAAAACCAATAAAATATTGTATGTCATTTATACTTCAATAAAAATGAATTAGTAAAATATTTTTTAAATGCATATGACCTTTTGATTCCACTTGCTTCTCTGGGTCTTCATTTTCCTTTACAAAATTTCTATGTGGACATGAAAATATTAAATATAGCTAACATGCCATTTTCCTGTTAATCTGTCTAGTGGCTCCTTAATACTTAGGCTCATGCACAATACACAAAAAGGATGAAAGCTTTTTTTCCCTCCCCTACAGTGGGATGGCATACAGAAGTAACTGTATGGCTACAGAATGTTTTGCTCATGTTGTGAAAGTCTATATATAATCTTTCATATGATGATAGAAATGGAAGATTTAGCAAAAACTGTTGATGATGACCTTTCTCACATTTACATGTAAATGTAATTTTTTCATGTTTTCCATGCACGCATTATGCTTTAAAAATGAAAAGTAGTTATGCATTCAGAAAAAAACGCAATTCTAATTTATACCAGAAAATAAGAGTTCAGATTTAAACAAAGACATATTTAAACGTTGGCATGTGCAGCAAGTTCTTTGTTTTTCATTAAATTTTTGTGGTATATGCAATGAAATTCCCAAATTTTGGTGTACAGCTTGATGAATTTTGATATGCATATACAATCATGTAAGCATCATCCAGATGAAGATACCAAATTTTTTCTCACTGATTTTTCCCCTTTCACATTTTTTACCCATTCCCCCATCCCCCTCCACTATGGCACCCACCAGTCTGTTCTCTGATTTCTTTATATTCCCTTCCCATTAAAATTTAATTGTGTAGACACTTGGGTGTTTAAAATAGTGTTTTTTCATTATTTAATATGCATATCAAATCAGTCAACTGGGTATCCTGTAACTATGTAAATTCTCATTCTCTAAGCCTCCTAGATTATTCTGATTGTGCTCATCCACTGGCCATACTTTGAATAGGGAGACTTTGTGAGGCAATCTAGTGGAAAATTCATACTTAAAAATCTATGATGATACCTTTTCTTCCATCACCTTTACCATCCCTGTATTTTCTTAACTGTACTGAAAATTATAGAACTTCTTTATTCACATAGGAGAGTGATACACAATAATGGAAAAGTAGTTGTCCATCCTTTTTTGCCACTTACTCTGAATTGAATTAGTATATAGTAAAATGAGTGTGTCTTTCACTATTATATTAAAATCTAAGAGAGTCGATACTTGCTTTTCATGTGAGATATCCAATTCTTTATACTGCCCAGTTCAAATTTTTCCCATTTTCTCCCCTTCAAATTTTTGATCGTGATACATTTGCTAATATTTTCAAATTCAGTTACATTACTCAGAAAAATGGTAGAGAGCAATTTCTAGTTTCTAATTTAATTTTTATGTTTATATTCATAATTAAATCTACATCAATGCCTTGGAATAGTACTGAATCATTATGTGTTTTGAATGTACATAGTGACAAATTTATATTAATCCATTTACAAGATGGAATTAAAACATTTCTTCCTTTAACGGGGACAATTTTGACGCATAGTTACTGTTAAGGTACATATTATTACAACATTTACCTGAAATATTATATGGTACTAAGCCAGCCTTTTTACCTATTCTGAATGGTTTATGGACTGGAAACTTGTAACTTTGGCATTAAACTAAAACATTCTTAAATACATTAATTATAGGCTAACTATTTCAAGAAGATACAAATCCATATGAAAAGTGAGAGAAGCGTCCATAACAGGTGGTATCAATTTCCTAATGTACTTTTCAATACTTACTGTTTGCAAATGTGGTATAGGAATCCATTCTAAGTTACTTAATTTACTTGATCTCCCAAATCCCCTGCATGAGCAATCTCTTCTGTGCTAGAAACTTTCTGAAGGCTTTCTTCACATCTTTTTTCTCAGAGTGTATATGAGTGGATTTAACATTGGGGTGACCACACACTAGAACATGGAGACCACTTTACCAATGGTGAAGTTGTACTTGGCTGGAGGACAGACATAGGCAAAGATGATGGTGCGATAATAGATGGTGACCACAGTGATGTGGGAGGCACAGGTGGAGAAAGCTTTTCTCCAAGCTTCCTGGGAAGACATTCTGATTACTGTGACCACAATGTGTCCATAGGAGGACATGGTGAGAGGAAAATAACTGAGAATCACAACAGAGCTACATGTGTAGCTCAAGGCCTCCACCAAGAATGTATCTGAGCAAGAGAGTTTATAGATGGGGTCTGAGTCACAAAAGAAATGGTTGATCTTCTGGGGGCCACAGAAGTTCAGATGAGAGATAAGTATGGTAGATAGAAGAGGGGCAATGAAGCCCCCAATCCAAGATCCAGCAGAGAACTGCAGACACACTGGGATCCTCACGAGCACTGAGTATCTTACAGGATTGCAGATGGCCAGGTACCAGTCATAGGCCATCACTGCCAGGAGGATGCACTCGGTAGCTCCCATGGAGAAAAAGAAGTGGTACTGGGTTACACAGTCAGACAAAGAGATGGTGACACCCTGTGACAGGCAGGTGGCTAGCAGTTTAGGTACTGTGGCTGTGGTGTACCAGATCTCCAGGAAGGACAGATTTCCTAAGAAAATGTACATGGGCATCTGGAGTGTGGGCTCCATCACAACAGTGAATATGATGAGGGTGTTTGCCATTAGGGACAGCAGATACACAGTGAGAAACATCACAAACAATGTGAGTCTCAGGTAGAAAATACCAGGAAACCCAAGAAAATTGAACTCGGTCACTGTGGTCTGGTCTGTCATCTCCGTAGCTCATCCTCTCTGATCTGGAACCAACAAGCCTGGATAATAAATGAGCAAGAATGGGATACATTTGTTATCATTTATTTAATGACGATAATAGACTTCTAGTATTAGTAAATATTAAATTTTACACACGGAGTAGCTCACTAAATTGAGAAAAGAAATCTCCATGGTAAATATTCAAAGAATCAAAAACTTCCAATGAAGAAACTTGGGGAATGATTTTCCTACACTTTCGTCACTTTAAATGGCAGGGCAGGTTATGATTTTTTTTTTGAGAGGGCATCTCTCATATTTATTGATCAAATGCTTGTTAACAACAATAAAATTCTGTATATGGGAGTCAGTGCTCAATGAACAATCATTAATTCACCCCAACCCTAATTCTCATCACTCTCCAATCTTCTGAAGCATAATGAACAAGTTTTTACATGGTGAACAAATTCTTACATAGTGAATAAGTTCTTACATGGTGAACAGTACAAGGGCAGTCATCACAAAAACTTTCGTTTTGATCACTCATTATGAATTTTAAACAATCAGGTCAAATATGAATAATCGTTTCATTTTTACACTTGATATATATGTGAATCCCACATTTCTCCCTTTATTATTATTATTTTTTAAATAAAATGCTGAAGTGGTAGGAAGATGCAAGATAAAGGTAGAAAACATAGCTTAGTGTTGTAAGAGAGCAAATGTAGATGATCAGGTGTGTGCCTGTAGACTAAGTGTTAATCCAAGCTAGAAAAGGGCAATAAAACATCCACTGATACCGAAGATTTCTCTCAAAACAGTGGGGGTGAGGTTCTAAGCCTCACCTCTGTTGATCCACAATTTGTCACCTGATGGCATCCCTGCGACTGTGCCTGTCTTCGGTTGTTCCTCCCTTGAGGAATCTTACCCGTCTCTGGCTAACCAATCATCTCCTGGGGCCATATAGGGAAATGTAAAGTTGATAAGTGAGAGAGAAGCCATATTGTTTGAAAAGGTTAGCTTTTTATTTCTTTGCAGATTTATGCCCTGTGGCTTCTATGCCCAGCATTTGTATTGAAGTATTTTTACCACTTGGAAGAATTATGATACTCAGTAAATTCGATATGAGGCATGAAATCTATTTAAGGGTTGTAATTAGGAAGGAAAAAGAAAACCTATAGAGGCAGAAGATGGAAGAAAACATGAGAATATTGATTATTTCTTTGACATATCTTCTTGTAGAGTAACTTAAGCATGTATAGGTTTTAAACTACAAATTAAGTTGTGCACACACATTAACATAA